GGCAGGCTGTCTGTCCCTGGTCCTTGCATACAGCTGGTGGAATGGGCCAAATAATAGGTAATAAAACAAGCCTTTTCTGTGGGTTACAGGCCATGGTAAGATTACAGGAAGATTACAGAGACCCAATGCTGGGTCTCTAGGGAATCAGACATTGCAGAATGTCCCCAGTAGTTTCCTGGAAGCGAGCCATTTCTTAGTCCAGTTTGCATCTACCAGCATTAGTTTGCACAAATACTGTATTTCCCTTAGCTGTGCTCTGACATTCTTCAGGTGTTCTTTGTAGTTAATATTTGCTTTTCCACTAAATGTTGCAAAATGGAAATATTTGCTTTCCATGGAGCGATGAGGCCATTGCTTAGGCACCATAAGATCCAAACCTATAGCTGCAAATAATTCCATATAAGGATGAATATCAGCCCACAGACTAAAATTCTTACTATTTAAACTAATCTATTTTGAACTCAGGGCCTTGTGCATTCGAGGCAAGCACTCTACCAACTGAGCTATATCCCCAGCCCTAAACTAATCTAATTTTGCATTCAAAATTCCCACTGAATTGTTCATGTGAGAGATCATACATAAACCTTATTCAAAATACTGTATTACTGTTTCTTCCTCCACCATATTCCTTTTGTCCACCTTCAAAAATGTTAGCATCTGAAGAATTGATAACCAGATCTTAAAGCCCAGTTACTTTGTGAAGAAGTTCAGGCTGTGAGAGCAGTGGTGTAAGTCAGCACAAAGGGCGAAAGTGTTGGTGATTCCACCAGAACGCACCTCCTCAATGGCTCTCATCACAAGGTGCTACCATAGGGTACATCCTTCCTGCTTTTCTACAGAGTAGAATAGTAGAAAGAGCACTATCCCGGAAACTAGAACACCCTATTCCCTCTGCACACACACCAGCCTCTTTGGGCCTCAGTTGTGCCATTTACAAATTGAGGGAATAACACTCTTTGAAAACACTTACCACTCATGGAGATTTGACAAGAGCTTTGAGTCTATCATCATAAGGGTCCCCTCCACAAAAATGAATGTTTCTTTTGGAACTGAGGGGTTTCCCCAACACAGAGGCCACTTCACCCTCTCTGCTGCCCTTCATGATGTTGGGCTCATAAGGGGCAGAGGAGCCCAGTTCTCTATCTGAAGTGGACAGGGGAATATGTCATGCAAGTCAGGAGTTAGACTCTTCCACAAGAATAGCAGGTATAGTTATTTCTCCACAGCCCCCATGCATTCACACACAGCACACAGTCTCTGCTCAGCACCTCTCGGCTAGCTTGTCAGGCAGGTCCTCTCCCTGGAGAGATGCAGTTCTGCAGTGAAATCTGAACACATTCCAACAACATGTGTTTATCTCCAGGGTCAGCCTTTCCTGTTGATGCTCAGGAGGCATGGGGGAGGGGGAACGGGATGGGGAATAATGGTTGTTGACAGCCACAGGGGGTGAGAGGTTAATGGGGTGTGGGACTCTACCCTTGGGAGAGTGCTCTTACATTGAGGTTTCCAGATCTGTGTATTGGGATGAGCTCCCAGGTCTTTTGTTGCCAGTGGAGATGAGAAGTTGGGACACCACGTCACCCAAGGGTGTGTCTTCCAGAGCTGGCCAAAACTTGTTGTGTGGGAACCTTCAGGTGGGGGCCATTCTCCTGGAAGCAGGAGAATGGCAGTGTTTCCAATGTTTGGTTCAGGATCTAAGCTCTGTTGGGACACACCTGGTTCTGCCTCTCCCTTTGAGCTCATGCATAGGTGCCAGGACCTTCAGGCTCTGGCAGTCCAACAGAGGGGACCACCCTTCCTGACTAAGCTGGGCATAAATCCCAAGTGTTTGACATTTACTTGGATACAGTTCCAAGAGCTATACCCCTCAGGAAAAATACCCACTACCCAGGTTTTAAATTTTTTTATTTAAATTTTTGGCACTGGGGATTGAACTGAGGGGCACTGAGCTACATCCCCAGTCCCCCCCCCCATTTTTTTTTTTTTTTTAATTTTGAGACCGTCTAAATTACTAAGGTTGGCCTCAGAACTTGTGATCCTCCCATCTCAGCTTCCTGAGTCACTGGGATTATAGGTATGCACCACCATGCCCAGCTCCACTATCCATTTATCTCCACTAGCTGGGGACAAATGCCCAGGTACATTATGAAGGATCCAGTCTAGCTCTGGATGACTTTGAGAAAGTATGCTCACAATCAATCTCAAAACCTCTAATTTATTATTTATTTTCAAATTAGATAATCCATTCTCCCTCCAGGCTGAGTTTCAGGGGTGGGAGTGTGGAGGCTGAGCCATCACATTCCTCTTCAGCAAAAATGAATCACGTACCCCAACCCCCATCCTCAACCCAGGAATATTTACCCATGTTTATATAACCATGGCAACAGTCTTTATTCTCTATCACTTAAACCCTTTTTTAAAAAAGAAAAAAAAGAAAGAAACAGTGAAAGGCAGCTTTTTCCTACTTTGCCATATGTTCTGCCAAAGAAGAACTACCTCTTTAGAAACAAGGTGAGAGGGAGAGACCCTCATACACCCCTGGGGTAATATTGGCCTTCTTAGGGATTGCAATGACCCAGCATCATGAAAGGACTTTAGAGTCAACAGAGATTGTCTTCCAAAGTCCTGTGGGAACTGTACAGCAATATAAGTATCTCTGACTTGTCTGGGAGCTCTCTTTTAAGCTCTGTACTGAGATAAGTTATCAATTATTTTTCTTTCCAATTTCTTTACCTTAACAGTGGCTGGAACATGGGCTGCCTTTGCTAACAATATAGTCTTCTTCTGTAACATGGGCTAAACATCCCTCTTGTCCTGACAGATGGTTGTCAGAAGAGAGTTTTGTAAGGAGTATGAAGTATTAGATTCACGTAGGTTTAAATTATAAGTGAAGGAAACTGAGGCCCTCAAAAAAGGACAGCCTGGTCACAAGACACTGTGTTGTCAAAACTATAGAAGACCTAACTATCCAGTTTTAGGTTCTTTCCAAGAGATCAGCCTGCTTCTCTTGGGGTTTTAACTACAACCAGCTTCCTAACTTCTAAGAGGATTCAGGCCCAAATGGTATCAAGTATGGAGAAAAGCAGAGCTAACTTGACTCTAAAGACCATTTCAATGACAGGCCCACAGACATTTACTCAAGAGTAAGTGTCTACGCTGGAGGCTGGAGATCAAAGTGAGCAAAGCAAGGTCCTGCAGATTGGGGAACCCTTTTGAGTAAGGGTCCCTGTATGGATTAGATTTCAACTACAAAAGTTCTTCTTTCTATTCCAGAGTATTAAATTCGAGAATTTGTGCCATTGGACCAGAAACCATAGCTGTGTCCCTGGAAATGACCCACTCTGAACACCCCGTGGATCACAAGGAAAGTGATCCCTTGGAAAATTTTTGCTCACAACTACAAGGAAGCCCAAGGGCCTAGGGTCGATGCTGCTCTGCCTTCTGTGGCAGATTCAAGACCTGACCGGAGAGCAAAGGAAAGTGATTTTAGGCTCATCCAGCGGGCACTGGAAATGCCCAATCAGATTTGCAATTCCATTCTGCTGCCATCTCGTTTTCTGACAGCCAGCTTCCAGAGCAGTAACTGCGAAAAGTGTGAGCAGAGCGCGGGCGCTTGGGTTCCAGAGACGCAGGTTTTGGACCTGGTTCTGCCCCGCTTGCTCTGTCTTTCTCCACCTTTTTTCAATTGTTAGCAGAAGTGACACAGAGGCAAATGACCTGCAGCGTCTGAGTTCTCTCTTCACGCCTTCCCTCGCTCCCTCGCTCCCTCGCGTACTTAACGCTTCTGTCCCGTGCGGAGTCCAAATATCCTGCCAGAGGCAAACTTCCCCCGTTAATTACTTCGAAGCAATAGGCCGCTGATTGTCTTAATTACTCTCAGGCTCTGTACACCTTGCCGGTGGGCCCGGAGGGTTTTTGCGGTGCCTCTGAACGGGAATAATGTCAGCCCTGGCGGGTGCTAGGGTCTACGTGGAGAGTCTCGGGTTCCGCTGGGAGGAGCGCCCCGGACGACCTGTCACCCCTCTGGAGCCGGTCCGCGTCAACTCCATACCCGATGGTCAGGTTGGACTTCGCACTCCTCAGGTGCCAAGGGGCCTGTCGACTAGAATTGGAGTGTCTTCGAATCTCTCCTCCCTTCCCCAACCTTACAAAGGCCGTCACTGGGGGAAGGCCTGTTTTCCTATCCACCCCATTGAAAGCAGACCCCGTAGACCCGGATGCGATGGCTCATGTCAACTCCAGTACCTCCACCTGAGTCGGGTCCCAGTCCCACTATCCCCGTTTTTATGTTTTCATTAAAAATCACTTTCTGAAGGTAATACATTTAATTTTTTTTTCTTTTTACCCGTTATCTTCCCTTCTCCCTTCGTCCTCCATTATAAGTTCTTGAAAGCAGAGACTTAGCCTGTCTTACTCAGTATCCCCAGACCTACAACCTTGCCGGGAGCACAGCCCTCTCCATTACTTCGTGTTAAATAAGAGAATGGACCGAGGGGCGGCTAGCCTGCTCTGCAGGTGAGGAAATGGGCTGAGCGGACCCTATACTAGGAGAGACAAAAGTGGAGCCATACTCTCAGGGTCCTCTTCGGAAAGAAAAGAGATTCTGAGGAATGTCTGGGAGAGGTTGGGGTGTTTTTCTCCGATTGGAATTTGAAAAAGGTTACCTCACTGTGGCACTTTTGTCGCTTACTGAGACAGCTACTCAATTCCCCACCCATAAAACCGCGCACTCCCTTTATAACCAAATAGGGCGTCTGTGCTTTGTTGGGGACGTTGGCACAGCCTGGGGTCACGATGTCTCCTGCCACGATGGCCAGGCCCAGGTGACACCCACCTGTACCCACTGACCCCCGGCACACATTAGGGGTTCAGCTCTTGCTCTGCGGCCTAGCCCGCGCCTCACCCCACCACCCTGGGGGCCGCTCTTCTCATTGGCCGAAGACATTCCCCCTGAGTTCTCATTGGCTGCCGCACTTTTCCCTCCTCCCCGAGCCCCGGCCGCGCGCAGCTAGCAGCGGGGTAAGCTGCTCCAAGACCCAGCGTTGGAGGAGACGATCTGCTCCCCATTGCAAGAGGCGCGGAGCTCAGGGGCGAAGAAACGCCGAGCGCGCGGTTTTCATTGGGGTCGGTGTTCCGGCTTGGGAACTCTCGTAGAGTCTTGCCGGCAAATGGGCGCTTAAGGAAGGAGAGCGGGGAAATGGACTGCTATTTGCGTCGCCTCAAACAGGAGCTGGTAAGAGCGGGAGCTGTCGCCGGGGGCAAGGAGGGCTTCTCTGCTCTGATGGGTACCTGGCCCTTGCCTGGGTCCGGGGAGCCAGGACGTGCCCAGGCGCGTGCCAGGGCAATCAAGGCCAGACAGGAGATGAGGGGTCGAGGACTGGCAGGCAGAAGGTAGGGCCTGTCTTCAGAGGAAAGGGCCACAAGAAAACTTATGGGAAAGATTTGCGATGAGAAAAGAAGTGACTGAGAGCAACCGACCAGATTAAAATGTGACATAGGGAGAAAAAACAAGGGAGAAAAGCGGATACTGCTAGTTGGGCAGACGGAGTGAGTGAGGCTCTGGCGCCGCCGACCCCGAAGGCGCGGGAGCGACAGGCCCAGGCAGCTGGACGCCGGCGCCTAGGTGCTAGGGCTGCGCTGTGCCTGGAGCATTCGGGCAGGCGGGGACCGGAGGGTGCGCAAGCTGGATCCCCGCCCCGGGTAGGAGGTCACCTGGGACCGCTCGCTCGAGGGGAGCTGACGCCGCCCCGGGCCCCAAACTCTGCCTGGCTTGGCAGAGCTGGCGCGGCTGCGGGGGTAGGCTTGGCCGGCTGTCTGCCTGGGCTTGTCTGCCAGCAGGGAGGGGGCTGGCAGCTGTAATGACGGGGGAGGGCCTGCAAGGGAGGAGGGGCGCCGCCTGGCAGATCGCTAGCGGGAGTTGCCCGGGCCAAGCCAGATGTCAGGTCTGGGCTTGGGGAGTGTGCAGGGAGCGTGCGGAGACCCGGGGTGCTGGGGCTGGGAGAAGTAGCTTAGTCTGGAGGGGCGGGGGTGAATCACCCAACTAGGGGCATTGATTGCTAAAGCTATGTTAGGGAGGCCAGGTTGATTCTCAGTGACTTCACCTACCACCCACTCCCACCCCCTCTGCCACACATACCTTCTACCTTTATTATTCCTTCAACCACCAGAATTCAGGCATTTGCGCCCACAATGCCCTGCCCTTCACTTCTTCTAGCAGGCTCCCTGTGGTGTCTTTGCTTGGGCCTCTGTGTGTCTCTTTTAGTATCTCTCTTTTGGTGTTGACTGTTTTGTCTTATTTTGCTCCCCTCCTCTTCTTACTGTTCAGAGCCAGGGGCACCCAGGTGCACAATGGCAGACCTGTATCCAGAAAGTGCCAGCTTATGGCTCTCCAGATTTCCTGACAACCTTCCCACTTCTGCCTACAAAGGGCTAAGTCTTTCTGCTTGGGAGGGAACTTGGCATTGTATTAAGAACAGCCTTGGTGGTGGTGGTGGCGACAGCGATGGTTGGAGGGGGGGTGGGTGTCAGGGGAATTGAACTTGAAGGAGCAGGTGTTCTCATTGATACTTTCTGACCAAGTTGCCCTGACACTCTTTCTGCCTGCCTTCTCAGATTGATGATCTTTTTTTTGTGCTGACACTCAGATGTGAAAGTTACTAGCCCAGAGCAGAGTATTCATTCTGATCTTGTGAACCTATACTAGTTCCCTCACTAGTTTTAACGCACATTACTACCAGTTTAGGAGGGTGGTCCCAGCCCACACATACACAATTCTCATATTCCCTGTTCATATGTCTAGAACCAGAAAGGAAGGTCAAGATCATCAAAGATAATGTCTGAGGTCCAAGGCCCATGCCAAGAAAAGAATCTAATAGAATCCTCTTTGTGCTTGGAATCAGAGACTATACCACCCACACCAGGATCTGCCTTAATGGAGGGTTTGTGGGTGTTCCTGGCATGGGCTTGAATTTTAAAATCCTACTGATTTGCATATTTTCCAGCACCCTAGGTGGGAGGTGGTGAGGGGAGGAAGACAGTCTGTGGATGCCAGGAGAATTAAAAAAAAAAAAAAAATGACTCTGAACTGAGCCGAACTCCAGATCTTGATTTGCACCCTCTCCTGCCAAGGCCTTGAGCCCCCAGTGCCTGGGAGAAGGAAGGGGAGAGGCTGAAGTCACCCAGCTCCCCATCAGCTTTTATTTGGCCCTTTGTCTGAGCAGCTCCAGCCTTTGACTCTCTTGGAAAGGAAGCCAAATTCCTGGCCTGGGGCCCAGAATGACACTCAGATGGGAGAGCTCTGTACCCCACCCCCCATGGTGCTCCACCCCTCCCTGATGCCAGCCTGCTTGTAAAGGAGACAGAGCAGAGTGACAAGGCACAGATACTTGAGTCTCACTCCCTGACATCTCAGTTTAAGTAGCAAGGGTCAAATCTTAGTGCCTCAGTATCACCAATGGGAAAAACCGGGAGCTGAGTTAGTCCAAGGTCAGCCCTTTGGCTGCCTTCTTCTAAGGACTGGAGGGACTGAATTCCATGCAGCTTGACTGTGGCTAGGTTAGGGACTTATTGGCTGCAATGGGGTGGGAAATGCATAAGTTGACTTACATCACATGCTAGAAACTTTTACTCTGCAGATGGGTCATCCAAGGGAGGCTCTCCCTTGCCACCCAGGAGGACTGTGTATTGCCTGGATCTCCCCAGTTGGTTTGTGACTCTTGCAGTAAAACTGTTCAACTTCCACATTCATTTATTTCACTAATTATTTCACTCCAAGATCATAAGTCCTGGAGACACTCTGGGATAAACCTGCTGCAAAAAGAAACATTAACCGGGCATGAAATTATCTTTTTCTAGTAGATTCTGTGCTCCCCTCCTACATCTTGGCCCTATCTTTGCCCCAGAAAATCTAGATAATATAATCTAGATTTTCAGTAGCACAAATTTCCAATTCCCTGAAGCAGAAAATTTGCATTGTAACAAGTGAGCACTGGGGGTGGGGGGCTGAGAATTCAGGGATCCTGGCTCAATTAAGTTGATGGCTAGAGAACTGGCCCTTCCTCCCTGCCTGGAAGAGGGGGGGGTCAAGTTTCAGGGATGAAATGTGCCTGGAGAAGTAGTAGCAGCTGACACACTTCTTCATTAAGATGAGGGAATTGGGGCTGAGAAGACCCAGCAGGGAGCCCATCTCTTCCCCCTTCCAGCCGCCAAAGAGGGGCCCTGCCTGAGCACAAGGCCTTGGGACCAGCTGTTCCTTACACATAGCTCCCAGTGGACTTCCAACAAATGGGGGAGATGCAGACACATAGAGGAAGCAAATGTAAGCTGCTCACAGGGCATTCCTGTGAGTTCAGATCAATGTGCAACAAACAGAATGCATAAAGGCTGAATGATCAGGCCAGGCTGCAAAAAGCTCTCTAGAGGAGGGGGAGGTTGGAGGAGGCCATCTTCTGGAATGTCCATCCTGGTTGAGACATGGGGAAGCAGCAGAGGGACTTCTTTCAGGTGGGAAAGTCCTCCTAGGGCACCCTCGTTTCCCCAGAAGGCAATTCTTTAGTCTCTAGTGGCTACAAGTTCAGAAGTCTCTGGTGTAAGGCTAAGGACCAGGACCTAAAGGCAATATGAGGAGAAAAGAAGGGAAGGGAGGAGTTACAGTAGGAGCAGCTTTCAGCTCTTGGAACAAAAGAGCAAATTTCCCTAAATTGTTGGAAAAGGATCTCATTTTGCAGTGTGCTTGATCTTTAAAGATAGGGATAAGAGGACTTTTGGACCAGTTAGACTGGGGTTAGTTGGAAGAACACGGAGCATAGGATTTGGAGTCAGGCCAACTTGAACTCAAATCCTGACTCTATATGACCATGGAATATTACTTAACCTCTCTGAACTTTAGTCTTCTTATCTTTAAAATGGGCTTTTAAAAATACCTACCTTGGGCTGGGGTTTTGGCTGAGTGGTAGAGTACTTGCCTGGCATGTGTGAGGCCCTGGTTTTTATCCTGTATATAAGTAGATAGATAGATAGATAGATAAGCAAGCAAACAAATAAAATAAAGGTCCATTGACAACTTTAAAAAAAGATTAAAAAATAACTACCTTGTACAGCTACTATGAAGATTAAATAGCAGTATAAGTAAAGTACTTCCCCAATTGTATGCCCTCAGCACATAGCACAGAACCCTATGTGTTGCAGGCACTTGGTAAACTCTTGGTGTTGGGTTGATCAGACTGGTTTGAGTAAGAGACATTCACAGAACATTTTTATTGAGCTTGTATACATTTCAGGCACTAACCAGGCACTAATGTTATGATTACAAATGTAAACAGATCCTGTCTTCAGACAACCTACAATTTAATAGAAAAGATAATACCATATGTTGATGTTAACCTGGATATACCAGGCATATCATGTGTTGTTATTTAATTGCTAAAGCAACACTAAGAAGCTGTATATTCATTATTCCTATCTTTAAAATGAGAAAATAGACATCAGGAGGCTAAGTGACTTGTCCAGAGTTGATAAATGTTGCAGTTGGATTCATACCTGGTCGGGCTGACTGCAGAGCTTTCATTCCTAGCCCACAACACATATATGCACATCTCTAGTGCAGGTACATGAGGGTCCATGCCATTTAAGGGGCACCGTGCTCCAAGAAGGGAGAGGTAACCTCCAACTGAGAGATCAGGGAGAGTTTCCTGTCATGGGAGAGGCAGCATGTGAGCCACACTTGGAGGGATGGATAGAGATGGGCACAGGAGAAATACAACATTCCAGGCAGACGGTGAGACCGACAGAAGGCGCAGAGGCAGAAGTAGCGTGGATGTGCCAGCTTGGCTGGAACAAAAGGCGTGTGTAAAGAAGGAGTAGGCAACAGGATTGAAAGAAACTTGACCATTATGCTATGGAGTCTGACCTTTTCTATGTGCACTGGAGGTTGACATGGCCAGAGATATGTCCTAGGACCTAGAGGTGGTATGGAGTGGAGGGTGGAGAGGGCAGAAAATGAGGCAGGAGGGTGAATGAGGGTGAATATAAGAGTCCAGGCAAGTGGGCGCGGTGGCAGGCACCTGTAATCCCAGTGATTTGGGAGGCTGAGGCAGGAGGAGTGCGAGTTCAAAGCCAGCCTCAGGAAGTTAGCAAGGCCCTGTCTTTAAATATAATATAAAAAATGACTAGGGATATGTCTCAGTGGTTACTTCAAAACAAAACAAAACAAAAGCCCTGGGTATGAAGGCCTGA